TGAGAACATGGTCAGCTGAATCCCAGATTGTAGGGTGCTGGCAGATTTATGTGTATGAGTGTAAAAAGGCTAGATGAAAGACACGAATTGTTTGCATACCGGAGTTATTGCTGGCGTCACCTTCTTGGGCTGTTTGGCTCAAAGCCAAGTCAGCAAACGATATTGCTATGACCAAGGCCGACGGGCGCAACATGATGCCCAGTTGAAGGTTGACAGAACCCAAAAGGAGCGAAGAGACACCAACAAGCACAGCTAACAGGGATCAATCCTATTGAGCGCATTCTACGGACTCCCTTTTATACGTGCGACCTCCTGGTGGGATTCAACTCGCCGGGCTTGACCCGAGTCGGTAGACTTTGCTATCGACTGGGTTATGGGCGCACAATCCACCAAACCCAATATTTGGATGGGGTCTTCGAGACATGTATGGCAATGTCATGTGCGCCTTGGAGTTCGATCGGAATCCGCCACTAGCATTGTTTGGACGGCCGATCATGAACTATCTGATCAAGTTAGCTTCTCGTCGGGAAAGTGTCCAGAAGAGGGCTGCTCGGCTGTGAGATACCACCCGAGAGCCCATAAGCACAATCGTTCCACCGTCTAGAACTTTAGACAGCTCCATAAGTGACCCAGGGTCCTGGCTGATGGTGGAGCACGAATGTATCCACAAGCAGCGCATCAGTCAACTCAGGCAAGGGGATCATGGATGCCATGGGTGATGCAAGGAATAATACACATGTTCTGATCACCGGCTTGTGCTTCTCGATTATGACATGCCCAATCGACACGGCTTTCCGTGTGGCTCTTGTTTCCGAACCATCGTGTCCTTGACATCTAGAATTTGAGCAACTGCGAATTTCGAAAGCTCCATCGTCAAAATACCAATTATGCGACCACGCAAACTTTGTTGAGATGTGCCATCAATACATCGGACCATCATGCGTGTACCACGGGCTGAAAAATGCCGCTGAAAGAAGCAACCACCGAAATTGTTATCTAGACTACGCCTCCGGGCTGCATATTGGCCTGTTTTCCAACAAGAACTTTTGTACAAACAACACCGGCAGCAAGGAATCCAAGCCAACGGCTTTCTATCCCGGCTTTTTAACTAGGTTCAGTGGCTCTAACACATGTTGGACATCCAACGGCGACGGGCGGCAACATTGAAGTAGGCGGGGACGCGCACCACTTTCTTCGGTTGTTGGCGCTAAGGCGTGGTGTTCTCCATACAATTGCAAGGGGCACCGGGGCAGTAGTAGATGTCCAACAACCAACAAGGAAGGGGTCTGATGGATGGAAGAAACCCCTGAAGTTTCTCACAAGATGAAGTTGCAAGAAGAAACGAGGCAAGGGAGGCTGCCCAGACGACATTAAGTTATCTGCAAAACGAAGATATTCATTGAATACAGGGATGACTACTCACTCATCAACTCTTAAAGCTGACCAATTGTATACTATACCAATGCAGAGCCAAATTCGAAGTTGTTGGCGGGGAATTCATCATTGCAATACATAGTAATGAAGTTTTCTGCGTTGCTCCATCATGAGATACCGTTAATGATAGACCAGGGGTTTTCCGAGTCTTAGGGATATTGTCGGCGAATCCTGCCAACTTGATGTCTACTGTTTAAACGTCTCGAGAGATTGCCATCCGTTGACCCATGCTTGATTTTGAGTCCTTCTAAGGAGATGGGACTCTAAGACCTTCATTTCGAAGGGGCCAGCATCAAATTGTTATGCCCTAGAGAACTCACTCTCGTCCTGCAAGAAGAGTGCAGGAAGGGTAGGTGTGGCCGTGAATGTTCCTCATCATCGAGGCACAGTCATGAACCCAGCAGATCGGGTGTGCCTGCGTCGATGCGGACCTCGGAAATATGGCTTTAGTCTTTTGCCACATGCCGAACAGCTCGCAACTGGCGCAGACGAGAGGATCAGGTCACCGGTCCGCCTAGATGCAGTCTCCGCAAGTGCCCCGGAGATGTTCTGCTTAACATCCCGGTCTCCGAAGTCTCGAACGCCCTTTCTTCATCTCTCTTCTTCAGTTGTGCAAGTGGAATGGACCAAGGATACTGAAGCAGGGCATTATAGCCACAGGGATAGCATGTGCCGCAATCGTACTGATAAAGGAGGAGCCAAAGACCTTTTGCAAGATGGAATGTTGGTCGGATGAAGTTTTTGGCATGTTTTCCTGTCCGGCAATTCCATAAATCATTGACTGTGCACCTTGCTGCGTTGAATACCATGAACCTCATCTACCCCAGCTGATATTCAACCACATGGTTCTGAGGATCATCACCTTCTTATTCTACGGCTTTTTTATCTCAGTTGGAGTAGTTCCAAACCCAAGATGACGGAAGCTCCCACTAGTTGGCTACAGAACCTTGGCATTGCCATTGAGGTCGCTTGTCCAACTCTGGCACTCATTGCGATAAGTTTGCGACTTTACATCAGAATTGATACGAAGACCCTCGGCTGGGGTATGTTCTGCTCGTAAACACTTTATCTTTCCCATGAAACTGATCGTCACGCCCTAAGATGACGCCTGCATATGTGTCGCGATGGCTCTCTCAATTGCCCTAGCTATCGGATCTATTATATGTAAGTCTAGACTCATCAAGAATCAGAGTTACCGAAATACAAGCTAATATCCGCTCATCTATACAGGTATGAAAGAGCTCTACATAGGCATTCACTATTGGGACGTTCCCTTGCCCATGAACCCGACGACAGGAATGATCTGGATCTACATTGTCGGCGCTGTCTACAATCCGATTCTCGCACTGGTCAAACAGTCTGTCCTCATCTTCCTGATTCGTTTCTCCGGTGTCAAAGACGTAGTGAGATACGTTGTCTGGGCAACAGCTACATTCAATCTCGCGCTCATGATCGCCACCTTTGTTGCTGTCATTTTTCAATGCACGCCCATTGAGAAGAACTGGAAACCGACCTTGGCAGGGAATTGCATTGAGCAATTCTCGTTCGGAATATCGACTGCATGCTTGACTATTCTGACAGATCTTGTCTCTGTTGGTCTCCCATTTTACATCTTCCTGGGCTTGAAGATGCAGAAGAAAAGGAAGATTGGGCTGATGATTGTGTTCATGCTCGGAATCATGTCTGCAACCTTGTACCATTCCACATTCCCGTACACTACGTTTTGCTAACTGTGTATTACTGGCAGTGTTACAGCCGTGAGCGCCATTCGTCTCTACTTCCTTGCCAAAAACTTCACCGACAAGAGTCTCGATGCGAACTTTTCCCTTGGTTTCTGTGTTTCCTCCATTGAGTGTAACGTGGCCATCATGACAGCATCTGCACCAGCTCTTTGGCCTCTTATTCGACGATGGATGCCTCAGCTGAAGTCTTCCAAGGACCAAGGTTATTATGAGCACCAGTATCACACTGGTCAACAAGGATGGATTAGGACAGGTGATGGCCGCGAAGGCGCGTCTTCAAATGCCAACGGGGACATCGGTCTGAGAGGTATCAACATCAGGTACACCAAGACTGAAGCCCATTTTAGCGGCTCTTTTGCTCGAGACTCGGACGAGGAGTTGATGAAAGGTACTGGTATCATGCGAACAACCAACTTCGAGGTCACACACGATGACGATGACCCACGGAGTGTGGCACAATAACCACTGGAATATATCATTCTATTCACATCTCGCGAGATGCAGCAACTCATTCACGAGGAAATTGATGGGTTGTAGGGAGGTAGGAGTCTCATGGCTTATTTTTATGACGACTCTTAGTGTCTTGATGTATGGTTTCCTACATGTTCAATTTTTATCATTTACTTGTCGTGACTCAAACTGAAACAATTCCTTGTTAGGAAAGAAGGTGGATTTTCGATGCAAAAGTTTTCCAAAAGTAGTGTGTTTCTATAAATCCAGCTACCTGTTATGTACCTGGCTAGTCATCATGCGGTTCATTCTGTAAGGGCATCACTGGAGGCTGACCGGACCCATGGCAATGAACTCTGAGGCTCCATGTGTGAACAGAAAACGGTTACTGATACAATGCTTCCTCCCATCTGTTCTGAAGTCAAGTATCGAGCGAGGCCTCATGATAATCCTGTTCGGGGGTTTTTGCTATGCTTGAAGTTCCCCTTACTTAAGCGGCTCCAGAGAGTCTCAACGTGCCTTACCTCAAGTAAGAATTTCCATCCCCGATCGCGTGGGCCAAGTGGGGCATATGGTGGCAGGGATTATGTCCGGAAATTATCCTGGGTTCATCCCAAGTAAGTTGGACGTAATCCAGAAACTCTGTTTGATGGCGTCGTCAGAACGTGTGTCAAGTAATTCAACGGCTTGGAGTTGTCCGCGTAGTCAAATGTGTGCAGTCAGATAACTTCACTGACGATATTTTATTTCAGATCTGTGCCAATTTGGCTCAAGTTACCGTCCCGTCCCGTCCGCCACACCGGGACGATGTGGGGATCCTCCGATCGAGATCTGGGCGCGCTGGTATCACATGACCGTGACACGGTACGATACACCCATATGCTAACCCCCAGGCTCTCCCAGGCTCTTGGTATTTGCACGGGGACATGGTCAAAGAGGAACAATTCCTGCCTTCCATCGCGGCCAGGCCCTTGTATCTTACATGCAATGCGCGCGGCACGGGATTGCCGACTGAATCGCCTCATTCTTAGCAATGGTGTTAAGACCCCGCCTGGTTTACCCCCTTAGGCAGGAGATGAATTGCCGTGTGGCGGCCCCATTTTCCCCGGCTCTTACAACCCAATTAGTAAATAAACTCTGACGGCTGGATACAGGAACCATGGAATCACGACGTTGTAATTTGTTCTGTAGGGGGTGTAAGCTGGCCTCGCGCTAATGCCCAATCAGAAGGGGCTTTTTCCTCTTTAATCAGCGGGCAAAGGCTATCCCGTCGGCAGCTACTGGTTCAGATAAATATTCTCGTTGAGGGCTCTTGATTCTCTTTGAAGATTTCCTGAGTGACTCCGTCGTCCCAAAACACATTCGTTAACTACAATGGCCAGACATCGTGTCTCGTTCTTTGGGCTCATAGTCGCCGCCAGCGTCTCAGCCTTTCTGACGGAGGAAGAATTTCCCTGGCAACCTCCCGGACCAGGAGACTTGCGCTCGCCATGCCCCGGTATCAACACTCTCGCTAATCACGGATTGCTGCCGCGCGACGGTCGCAACATTGACCTGGAGGTTCTTGGGGAAGCCACGGCACTGGGCTACAACATGGAGCACAACACCATGCTGGCAGTCGGCATCCCCGCATTGACGACATCAACAACGGGAAATAGCTCGACTTTTCACCTCAGCGATGTCGATCAGCACATACCGCAAGTCATTGAGCATGATGGAAGCATAACCCGCGACGACAAGTACTTTGGCGACAGCAACAGCTTTAGCCATGCCGCATGGGGCCGCGCATTGGCTTCTTGGGGTGATATTGAGATCATCGACGTACGTTTTCCAGCCCTTGTTGTAGTTGCTATCTTTCGCACAGCTAAGAAAACCCACTTGTAGTTCGCTGCTGCTGCCAGAGAAATCAAAGCCCGCTTCGAATGGGGCGAAGCAAACAACCCAGAGTTCAACGCCACCTTTGCGAGAACAGGCTCACTTCTTCAGTATGCCTTGCTTCTGTCGGCATTTGGGGATTACGGAAACGCCAACATGACTTTGGTTCGGTATTGGGTCGAGCATGAGAGGCTTCCACTGAGACTGGGTTGGCAACCACCTGTCAACAACATCAACTCCACCATGAACAGACTCATTGCTGCGAATATTTCTGCCTTGTGGGTTTAGAGTCTCGTGCATACAGAGAGCTCAGCACGGCGTTAAGAGAGACAGCAGATGCAAGGTCTGTTCTGTTGATCGCGCAGCCACCTTCGTGTAAATAAGAAATGTCGGCTACATCTAACAATGCATCCTCTGTTCATATGAAAACGTCACATACTCAATGCATTCTTCGCCCAAAGATTGGCAAATTCAATCCAAACTAACTTAGTTTTGAGAGGGAAGCTACCAACTAGAGTAAATAGCACCTTCGTAGGCTTTGAGTTCAAGGCTCCCATCTTCAATCCTCTTGGCGTTGTTGCCAAGTAGTTGGTTCCAGCCATCAAAATCCTTTAGTCGTAAGTTTTGCTCCTTGTCTGAAAAGTTCAAGAGAACCAGTGCCTTCCTGCCTTCATAGCTTTCCATGGTGAAAGCAAATAGTTCCTCGCTTTCCTCATAGTCCTTCACTTCGGAGAACGTGCCGTATACAAAAATGTCCTTCTCTTGCTGTCGAAGGCTCAAGACTCGCCTCCAAAACGCTAGCACGCTGTCCTTATCCTTCTCTTGTCGCTCAACATTCCACTCGCCATAGTCATCGTTGACGCGCATCCACGGTTTTGAGCCCTTGGTGAAGCCTCCGTGTGCTTCGGTACTCCACTGCATGGGCAGTCGCCCATTGTCTCTCGCCTTGATTCTCATCTCCGCCAAAACATCCGACATATCCGCGTCTTTGCCCCTCTTCTGAAGCACGCTATTGTAGTAGTTCTTGCCCTCGACATCGGCATAGTCGTCAATCGTCCAAGACTCTGGGAGGTTTGCCATTCCGATTTCTTGCCCCTGAAGCAGAAATAATGTGCCGCTCAGAGTGCCAAGATAGATGGCCAACATCTTGGCGGCCTCTTTCCTGTACTGCGGCAAGTCCGACGCGTATCGTGAGAGCGAGCGGCCAGAGTCGTGGTTGTCAAAGTAGACCGCGTTCCAGCCGTCACACTTCAACATTGCCTTCTGCCAGAGGTTGGTAATGGTCTTGAGTTTCGAGAGGCGGTAGTCGCCGTGCTCATACTTGTGGTTCTTGCCAAAATCCATGTCCACGATGTCTCCAGTGAAGACCATGTTGAGTTCGTGTCTATCCTTGGCAACATACTCGGCTACGCTGTTTTCATCCTTGGTGAAGCCTAACTCACCAACCGTCATGCATCTGTACTTGTCGAAGACCTTCTCGCGCATCTCCTGGATGTACTCGTGCATCCGAGGACCACTGGCGTAGTACAGATCACCGGGCTGGAACTCCGAGTCGGGCCTCGTTACAGGTGCGTCAGGCAGTTCGGGGTGTTTTGACATGAGATTCATCGAGTCGATTCTGAAACCATCGGCGCCGCGATCTAGCCAGAACTCCATATCAGAATACGTCGCGCGACGCATGTCCTCGTTGGTCCAGTTGAGGTCTGGCTGTGAAGGCAGGAAGAGCGAAAGGTAGTACTGCCCCGTTTGCTCATCCCATGTCCAGGCACTGCCACCAAATATGGAAGCCCAATTATTGGGTGGATGGCGGTTGCCACTCGAGTCGATCTTGGGGTCTCGCCAGAAATACCAGTCCCTCTTGGAAGATGACTTTGACGAGCGAGACTCTCTAAACCACTCGTGTTCATCGCTGGTGTGGTTGACGACGAGATCTAGGAGGACCTTGATGCCCCTTTCATGGCACCCCTTGATCAAGCTCTCTGCATCTGCAACAGTACCGTATGGCCTGTGAATGTCGCGGTAATCAGATATGTCGTAGCCCATGTCATTTTGAGGGCTCTTGAAGATGGGAGAAAGCCAAATAGCCGTGGCTCCAACGGATTTGATATAGTCCAGCTTCGAGATAATTCCGGAAATATCGCCAAGTCCGTCATTGTTGGAATCGAGAAAGCTGGCCGGGTAAATCTGATAGACGACAGCTTCTTTCCACCATTGTCTGTCTGGGGGACCTGAAGTCGCCATAGTGGCTCTGGTGGAAAAGAAAAGACCGTTGGAAGAGCTTTTGTTTTGACGACAAGGCGTGGGTAGATCAAAGAGTAAGGACAGTCGTAGGTTTGCAACAAATGGGCGTTGCAAGAGGTCAAGCTTGTTCGCTTCTTATGTTCAGTCTCCAGACTCCCAGGTTTTGAAGTCGGCTCATGGAAACTTAACCCCCGCAGCTACCTACCCCAGATCATCGAGTCTCAGTGATGATTGGGGGTTGGTGCCAGAAACATTCGCACTAATAGCAGCCTCATCCATATAACTTGCGTGGCGTGGTGAAGACGGCTAAATTTCCATGGTTGAATTATGATTCGTCCGCATCAGCGTGGGGAAGCTGCTAGTGCTTGGCAGCAGTCATCCCACACTGCAGTATAGATAGATGCTGGAGTCAGCCCAAGATCGTTGCGTGGGGCTTCAAGCTTGAGACACTAACACAGATCGGTCCAAGTTGCCACATTTCTGCGGTGGACTAGGTTAAATTACTGGTGAGATGTGAGGGTGTTGTGGGAGGTGTTCTTTCGGTCTCGAATTCAAGACACAGAGTTGACCGAATTGCCTGCCTCTTGGTGGATACCACGGAGAGACGCGGAGAAAAAGACGAACACGGGGAAGGCAAATTTTGCCGGGCTCTAAAAAAACCGTAGCCTGCACGTGGGACTATGGGGCTGAACGACGCTCAAATTCTCGGGATATTGAAAACGGACGAGTGGCTGGTGGCTAAAGCGCTCCGCTGGGCCACAGTGCCGAAAACAAGCCTCACGCCGCACTTTGACAGCAAGAACACTTCATGTTATTTCTGAGGTTGCTTTCCTTGAGTACACTTCTTCACATTGGCCTACCTTAATCATTCGACTTTGTACATCACACATCTTGTCAACATTGTCTGGCTTTGTTATTCATCTAGTCACACAACCACCAGGCGAAGGTTTTCGCGCAGTTTCTAAGAGGATCCGTAGTCCAAAGTCGCATTGCTGTGTTTTTTAAGGTGCTTATACTAAGTACTTGAGTAAGAACCCAAAACCAACATCCGATACAGTAGACTCCGCGCCAGAGCTGAAGTGCAAATAACTCAAGACACCAACGTGGAGCTGCTAGTTGAAACTGGATTCAGAGCAATAGTATTATCGACTGATTTCATCAAGTCTTTTGACCAGATGAGTAGGCCCCGCCATGCCTGGCCCAAGTCTTCGGCGAACAAAAGATGCCTCGGCCGAAGTCCGAAATCAGTTTTGTTGCATTAACTTCGGAAATAATACTAGTCAGAAGTCCTCAAACATGTAGCTACACAGACACTAGAGGGTAGATTGAGCAGTCTCGTGATACGCACATGCTGCAATCCGTAAAATCGAGCCATGCTTCCCTACAGATTGACAAGGGCCATGTTAGCTCGTCATCGAGTTGATCGTACTTTGTTGATGTTCCGGTCTACGCGAGTATGTGTTCGACCAGTCTTTTTGTTCAAGGGTCTCAAGGCCATCTCTGACCCGCGATTCTGGTCCTTGTTCTTCATGTATAGGTGGTTAGACAACTCTGGCCCACAGGCTCATCACGCATCGGTATCCAAACTTCCGTACCTAAGTGAAGCTATAGTCACGATTCTAGCGAATTTGCCAAGACTTACAAATCTGATTGTTCAGTCTCTCGATATTTTCTTCCATAGACCATGAATGGCGTGAAGATGGGATCATCGCAGTTTTTTGCGTGGAAATGTTCATCCCCAGAAGGTGGGCGCAAGCACCTTTCACGACTTATTGCCGTAGCTCGTGGCTGAAGTGTTGTGTTAGTGAGTTGCCAGTTCTCCACCAGAAAGTTGAACAACCAATCGAAATTCAACCATTCCAACCGGTGCCAACAAAGATCAATGATCCACCAAATCAGTATTTCGAGCGAGACTTCCGAATATGAGCAGACACACAGACCGGTCCAGTCAGATGGCGAACCCAAGGACTTGTTTTCCTTGCTAGCGCGTCGAAGTCCCCCATGGCGAGTTCCCCGTGGGGACTGCTGCCACGGCCCACAGGTGTCGTCCGATGCAGATGTATAGAGTATTCGGAACCGAGCACATGGCTCGCTGAAACCTCCTATTCCAATTTGTATAAAGTCTTCAGAGCCCGCCTACCTTGTTCCGAATAACATTTCCCTCCAGCTCATCTAAAACCATTTGGTTTAATATAATTCCCCCGGCTCGATCCTCTCATCTTGTTTCCTTCCACGATGGACGCCAAAACAGCAGAGGCGACTACCGTCGTCGACCACGACCATATCGAAAAGCTCGCCATTGCGGACGAAGCCGTTACAAAGGCAACTGAGAACCAAGACCTGACTCCCAAGCAGCAGTACCAGCGTCTTTGGGCAAACCTCAAGCAAGACAAGCGTTATGTCTTCTGGGCACTCTACATCATGTCCCTCGTCTTCGGATGGGGTTACGACTCTGGACTTTCAGGAGCTGCCATTGCCTTTCCCGAGTTTCGCAAGGCTTACGGAGACTACTACCAAGTGGGAGACCAATATGTCATCCCCGCCCTCTGGCAATCTCTTTGGAACGCTGCCAGCACCATCGGTCAGGTCTTTGGTGCCTTCCTCACCGGTCAATTCGCCGATACCGTTGGCCGCAGAGCCGTTCTCTGGACAGCCGTCATTCTCTCCCTTTCTTCCTCATTTGCCCTGGTCTTCGCTCCAAGCCTGCCCGTACTCTTCGTCTCCAAGCTGCTGCTCGGTTTCTCAGTCGGCTTGTCAACCGTTACGCCTCCGCTCTACGTTACCGAAAATGCTCCTCCTGCACTTCGAAGCTCCCTCAGCTCGCTGACCAACGTCATCATTGTTCTCGGTTTCTTCCTGTCTTCCATCACAGCATGGGGATCCTCCAAGATTGAAGGCCAATGGAGCTACCGCCTGGCGTTCGCCATGACTTTCCTTGTCCCGACCCTCTTCATGATTGTCCTGCCGTGGCTCCCCGAGTCTCCCGTGTGGTACGTCAAGAAGGGCAGAGACGAAGATGCACGAAAGGCCATCTTCAAGCTCTACGG